TGGAAATGAGCCCAGATGCCACATTAATCACAAAGTTTACAATGCTTGATAAAGTAATTTTCACTTCAAATATGACTTATCACCAGACACATGCATTGTTTCTCTAAAATGCTCTCAAACGCATTGTCTGTTCTTCTAATGAACCGCAGTGGGTCGTTAGATTTAGCTATTATCTTTACATTGCATTGCATGCATTGTTAACAGCACTGGTGAAAAGACACTAAAGCATTTATATTCATATGAGCAATATTCTATAATAATTGCTTTAATACTGCAGGATAGATGTGACACTATTTTAACCTCTGGTTATTTTTTCGCCTTTAGCAAGGAAATTGAAACAACATAATTTTAAAGCATTCTTAATGCATATTTACATCACAATAACATTTATTCAAAATGCCAGTGGAAGCAGCAAGTCTTGCCAAAGCATCTCAGGAGAAATCAAAATTAACCTGTAGGACTACTGTATCCATCATAATGGAAGTGAACATTTAAAAGAGTTATGTGTTGACTGCAATGCATTTTCCTGAACCTTAAAGGTACAGTCTGATTATTTAACATTTAGTTTCCTTTTAATTCTTACATAATTCTTGCAATGCATCATAGTGGCAGTGAACATTTAAAAATGTGATAATTATATTACATAATAGTTGCATATTCTTTACATAAAACATTTGGAAAATATAGTACATCATAGGCCTATTTGTCATTCTGTCCCTTTGCAACAAGGACTGATTATATAATACAATTGCTTTTAATTTTTTAGAACAGCTCAAAACGTGTCGACTGCAATTAATTTTCCTCTTAGCTTAATGGTCTTTTCTGATCATATAGAATTTAGGGTTTCCTTTCAATGCTTACATAATTCTTACAATAATTCATTAGAATTCTGATATGAGGGTGAGGTACAGTGAGACGTGGATTAACCAGCTTGGAGCTTTTGAAAATGAGATGAAAAATTTAACAAGTGAAAATACTGTCACGATGAGGCACACCCACAGCATTTCAATGAGCTTCTGTGGATCTGGAGCATAAGGTAAATGCCAGCACCCTTCATCTCGCAAGCAGCTCTGCCAAACAAACTGTGAGGCTGTGAAGCCATCCAACTATGAGTTCAGCTCTCTCATCAATGATTAGCATTTATTATGTAAACTGTGACAGCTCTCATGTGATGTGGAGACCGAGACTATCAAGAGATATTTCTGTTATGTTCACATGACAATTAGCCCATATTCAGCATATTGATGCAGCCTTGCATGTTCAACAGTTGGAGTATTTTCTCTACAAAATGTTATCCTATTCTTCTAACATAATAAGTGCATTGCTATTTTAGTGTGAATTTCCTTTTATAGCATTATAATATTTTTTGTTGTTCAGAAAATGACAATTGTTGAAGGCACTGTAGAATCTGTGTCAGTGTTAAGTGTCTTCTGAAAGACTCAAACAGGTAGCTGTAATACTCCGCATCAATACATTTTCCAACCAATTATTTTTTTTGTGTGTGTGACTTTGGCATCACAAGACAGCTGGCTGTTTGTCAGCAACTCCTGCATTGCACAGATCTGGATAGAGCCAAGTCAGAGCAAACCTGCACAATGAGATTAGGATGCATTACTACAGTAATCCAAACTAATGATTTAGTTCATGCTTTTGTTTGCTGAGCGTGAGAATATCATTCATTTAGGTGAACTGCAAAATGGCCAGAGATGGGAATTAGGAAAATGTAAAAAAAAATTAATAATGTGCTATTTTTCCATAGCTACAGATTCCATCAGTGAGGGATGAGAGTGAGAGTTTAAGAGGCTTGATGGCACAAATACTGCAAGTGTTTGATTTGAGTTTTCAACACAAATCCAGACACAGTGGAAACAGTGTAAAGAAGAATTATTTGAATCAAGTACAGTCCACTAGTAAAGCATAGTCAGCTCGTATATAGTATGTGAATCAAACTGTCAAACTTAACCTGCAATTGCCAACGGTAGATTTTACATTAACTCATTTAGCTGACGCTTTTATCCAAAGTGACTTACAAATGCTATATATCTCAGCGGTCGCACACCTCTGGAGCAATGATGGATTAAGTGTCTTGCTCTGGGACACAATGGTGGGTGGGTGGCAGTAGGAATCGAACCCCGGTGTCCTCACACTAAAAGCATGTGTCTTATCCATTGCCCTATTGCCACCTTGTTTTGTGGGCATTTCCCATGAGCCAAGTTCTCATCAGGTCTCACTTGGTTACTTAAGTATGCAACTGTTGTTAAATCAAGTCTGTTTTGTAGGTTTGTTTGCTTGTATTGGTATGTTTTTAACCTGTCTTTCCTCACTTGAATATCTGTCATTTTACTCTCTCTCTGACAAGGATGAAAATTGAAAAAGGCTTTTAGTGTTAGTGTTTTTATCCATGACAATTTTATTTGTATGTCAGGACTGGGTGTTTGTGTTGCGTTTAGTTTTAGTATTTTCAAGTAAATTTATTTCTAAATCTTAAAGTCTGCATTATAATACATAGACATAAAATACTATGCAGCAATTGTTTATGTTTAAGATTTAGTACAATATCTATGTCAGAAATGCAGAATATGGTTCAGAAGAACTCCTACAAAGTCTCCATTAGGATTTAAAGATAGAATGAGGATATGCACTGTACTAGTTGTCGTTTAATTTTAGCTGTGATTACTGTAGATAGGCACACAGTTACAGTATGATAGCATCGGTTCTCCAGCCCAGCATCCAAACACAAACACTTGTGTACTAGAGTAATGGAGAGCCACAGCAGGGCACAGTATAATTGGCAACTGTGGAGCATCTGTATACCCTCTGTGGCCCTGCTTTGTTTCTGAGTGCCCTTCATTTTCAGATCAGTCATTGCACTTGTATTTCCAAATCCAGCTACAATGCACCTGCCAAATTGATTGCTTCCCTGACACACTTTCCTTGCATTCTGTTTAATATGTATGCAGGAGTTTAACATATTTTATACAGGCAAAGTATAATTCTATTTAAATAAATACACCTTGGACTGTGGAGATGCTGTTCCTACGATCTCAGTGTCCCACTCAGCATGTTATCAAGAACACCTTAAGCATGACCTTTAATGTTGGGTTGAGACACCAGCGTGGTCTTTACATTATGTATAACTCTTATTTAAGTCTTGGGAATATTGGCTATTTTTAGCCATCTAAAGGCAAATAAAAATGAAGAGCAATATTGATGGCAATGTTTTCTCTATTGTGTAACGTGTTCAGTTACAATTTGTGATTTGCACCTCATTATGGCATACAAGAAAACAACATTTTCTATGAAAACTGCCTCTGGAGCACAGCAAAAGTGTAGCACTGGTGTAAATCTTTATGTGCATTAGTTTCCATGACAGCACAATGCCAGTTTCCTCAACATCCATTACCAAATGTAGGTGTTTCTCCTTTTTTCTACTCAATCATTTCTATTCCCAAATTACAGCAAATGATGACACCACCTAATTAAGAATAGGTGCAAAAGTAGTCAAAGATCTCAAATGCCTTGAGCTGACTTGGATAGACATTTCACTTATTGAGCTTATTCTGAACAACACTTTTAAGGAGTCTGAATGAAGCTGCATTAAAACTCCTACACTTTGCCGTGTGCCTTTGTCTGCACTGGTTCCTGTGTTGCAACTGTGACGTGACTAAGTCTGAGAGATGGTGGTGTTTCCATTTGTGAGAAAATAACAGTAATTCAAGCTGAGCTCCTTCAGTCACTTCTTCTGTTCTGTAGTGTTTCACATTTCTCTTGGACCCCAGCTGGGGGACTGAGGGGTTTGTATCAGAATGCAAATAAGGCATACAGTTGATTCCGCTGTGTACCAAAGGGAGGTTATACACACACAAGTAGCTAAACGGGTACATTAAATATACAAATTCCCACATTCTGGACTTTGAGGTCCTATAGGTGAGAATGCTAAATATTTTATTATGACTGACAAAACTGGTGTGTAATGAGAGTTTCGGTGAAATTCCTGCCGTATGTGTGCCTCCCACTCGCTTCTGTTTTGTCCATCCTGCTGTTGCTGGCTTGCACAGCTTTTCATGTCAGTCAGATTGAAGGTACTGGCTGTTGGTAGGGTGTGAAGAAAAAGCAGAGATTGTTCAATCAAAAATAGGATATTTATTTTAGGGAAAGCATATAAATCATAAACCTATTGTTGGGTGGAAACCTTGAATGTCCAAAATGTTAACTTTGTTCAAACAATAGAAATTATCCCTCACCAATTTCCACAAACAATGGAAGATGCATAGATGAGCCAATAAAGCCAAGATAGAATCAGATTAAAGCACAGAGTAATCTGCACTACTTGTTTTACTATTTGTTTACAGCTGGAAAATAATGTTCTAAACAGTGTGGGATGAGGTAAGGGTCATCACAGTTTGATTGTACCATGCCTTCAGCATGACATGTCCACATTCATGTCCTGGATCCTCTACACACCCACAGCATGCTCATTTGAGGCAGCAACCCAAATTGGTAGGCTGCTTGTGTTGCTGTGTGCATCATGCAAAACTAATCAATCAGTGTGTGCAGCTGAAGGTCTGTGTGCCTGTGTATCAAATATAAGGTTTCTATGAATGGATTTCAGCAGGGAAAAAATGGAGACTATTAAACATACAGATCACACCCTGTTGATTCACAGCATGAAAATGAAATAATAGTAAACAAAAATAAATAGACTCTTTGACGTCAGCCAAATGATTTAAAAGTGCCAGTCTCAGTTTACAGTATAGTAAGGACAATAATCAGGTTTGCTTCCAAATTCCTTTTACATTGAACAAGGTGTGGGATGCTATTTCTTGGTATGCTTTAAAACTGAAGATGCAGTAGTTACAGTAACTGTCGTTAATATCGCATTGAGAGAAGCAAACTTGTCTATGGTGTTTCTACTATAGCCTATATGGCTTACTGTGCCAGTAGCCTATTCACTTCGTCATATCATAAAGAAATGCTTTGAAATCTGGCGCTACACATAATGTGTGATAACAAAAACATTTCCTTTGATTGATTGGGGAAGTAATCCCATTACAACAAAGCTTTTTGTCTCTTACGTGATTGCTCGTAAATGCCTAATTCATCAAGTGTCCAGCAAGAGTTTTGTGAAGAGCTTTGTGCGCTCTCTCGTGGATTTTCTTTGACATTGTGCTCACTTTCAACAGAAAAGCAAAGCTTTCACAGCGTATATGGGGGGTGTTGGATGCAGTGTCTATTCGCCTGGCACCTGTTGGTGGCTTATTATTTTCAGCGCTGGTCTATTGAGGATTTAATGACAGCATCGCTCGCCTCGTATCAGGACCATGTCGGAGGAGCAAACTGATTTTAACACCAGTCGCAACAGTGTTGACAATACCTCAACTAGAGTCCAGAGCAGTTTCGTGTTTTCAGGACCAATATTTGTCATTTTGATGGTGATGATGGTGACTTTGGTTGTTATGATAGTTTTGGGCAACGCACTGGTCATTTTGGCTTTTAAAGTCGACAAGAGTTTGAGAAGACAATGCAATTACTACTTCCTGAATTTGGCAATATCAGATTTTCTTGTTGGTAAGTTTTCTTTATTTTATAAACCATGTAATAACAGAATATAGAGTAAACGTTAATACAAACGATGAATATCTTATTTCTGCATCCCTGTTGCTATAGGATAGGTAAAGTTTTGAAATCATTCAAATATCTTTGATGCTCCTTTGGATGCCTGTCAATCTCCCTGCACTGTAGGTGTGTACTACTAAACAATAGTTGAGTAGGTCTACATACCCAAATTAAGCAGCTACAAATTAGTTTAAGTAACTAGGTCTGACCAACTATAAATAATTAGAGTGTTTGAAACATTTTCTTTCCTTTTTTTTCTTCGGTAATGGCATTGCTTAATTTCTGTGAACACACATTTATATAATCTGCTCATTCACATGCACTCATTACTTTTTGTCACCTCCCTGGGACAGGTACAGTATTTGCATTAGTTTCTGATCCCTTTCCAACGACTGTATCTGTAGGGGCTTTCTGCATCCCAGTTTACATCCCTTACATCCTCACTGGCAAGTGGATGCTGGGCCGAGGACTGTGTAAGCTGTGGCTGGTCATGGACTACCTGCTTTGTTCTGCGTCTGTCTTCAACATTGTCCTCATCAGCTATGACCGCTTCCTGTCAGTCACCAGAGCAGTGAGTGGAACATCCTGTGCCTCACATCTGTAATGCACATAACGATAAAAGTGAATTTAGTATTGTAACTCGGAGTACACTAGTCTGCAAAAAAAAATAAAATACATCATCTTCTTCTGGATAATTTTCCTGTCTCAGTTTCCACTTAGACTGTTTTTTTCCTTTATATTTGAGTGAAGAATTTAAAGTAGAATGTTGAAAGTTGGAGATTCCTTTCTCTTGTAACCATACTAATCTTTACTACTTGTGGTCTATGGCTTAATTTCTGACTGGTGAGTCTCCCAGGTCATTGGTAGGGGCAGTGCCACCCCGTTCTCCCAAATGTGCCCATCTGCAGAGGTTAATCATTCCTGACCCATTCAGGCCCAGTGCCACTCCTAATTATAGCCCTGCCCCATGACGAAGATAAAAAAAAAAGAATCACTTTTAGACTTTGGGACAGACTGGGCTTCAGAAAATTTGCAGAAAGCAGCACAAGGCTCGAACATCAGATGACTAAACCTGAATTACTTAAACACTTTTATGTCCATGCAACTATGTTCCACTGCTATATGTTTTTGTACAGCATCAGTCATTTTTATATTTTCTGCCTGTCTTGGCACATATCTAGTCTGGCATATTTCCCCAAACCTCTTCAGCTGTTAGGGCCCATTGAACCTTTTGTTGAGGCTTATCTTTGCATTACCCGGCTGACTGTATCCTATACACAAGTGTGTTAACTCAAAGGTGGGATGAGGCTTGGCATGGTAGACAAAGAGAGTGTTCTGTTTCCTTTCACAAGGAAACACTTAACATCAGAGCAATGGATACAAATAACACCAGAGAGCAAGAGAGAGAGAGAGAGAGAGAGAGAGAGAGAGAGAGACTCTTCTTTAATTAGCTTGCTTTGATCATTGAGGTCCTCCCCCGTACCATGGTCCTTCCAACCAGGAGAGATCAATCATAGCACAAACAGGCCACCGGCAGCCAAGCAGCTTTTTCCTAAAAGCATTTCTCTCTGAACATTGAAAGACAAAAGATCGTCCACAGGACAAAGTCTGTCTTTTTTTTTAAATGAGATGGAGTCATATGAGATGCATATATTTGGCTGTTAGGTGGAATGTCAGCACATAAGCAAAATGCTAAGTACAAAGTGTTAGCAAGAAGATGCTGTTTATGTGTTACTTTTGATTATAAGAGTAAGCTAAGATGAATCTGAGAATCTCTCAGGAGGAATCTAACAATTTAAAAAGATAATGCAAAATTTCAGATGGGATTTATGAGCACACTTGATTCTTCTCCGTTGATTGCTGCATCACCACATTAAGCAGAGGCAAGAAGTACACCAATTAATTAATACAAATATAAGAGGAACCATTTTTCATCTTCCTTGAAGAAGAACTGCAGTTCAATTTTTGTCATTCAGAAGAGGGGCATAAATTCAGAGTAGATGGTAAAGATGTAAAGTCTGATGCCCGCTGAACAGGAACGTGGACAGGGACATAGGATGTAACACTAACTGAGACAAGTCAGTTGATATGTTCTTCCTCTATGAAATGTATTTGTCAAAAGATGCATCGGATATGTTCTGATGTTATTAGATTGATACTTGATTAAATTCTCAGTTGTGGGCTCATCAGTGTCCCCTGGGTGTAAATGGTTTCACTGTTTTACTGGATGATTTTTGTAGACATGGTGGTTTAAAGCTATGCTGCGATTACTTCAAGGAGACCAGTGATGTGTTAAAAAGTGCTGGAATTAGACATCTTCATCCCTGCTGTTAAATGAACATTGACAACCTTTTTATGGGCAAAGACAGTTTACTTTAACATAAATTGTTATCTCGCCCTCTAAATATTTCTACAATAATGATAGGATGCAGCAAGTGCGCATAAAATTGAGTGACTGCACACAGGCAATATTATTCAGTATATTTTCTTATGTTTATATTTACTGCAGGTAAGTTACCGTGCCAGACAAAGCATGACTCATCAAGCCATTATGAAGATGATTGCTGTCTGGGTGTTAGCCTTTGTCCTGTACGGTCCAGCCATCATATTCTGGGAACTGGTGGTGGGCAGAAGCCGCGTGCCAAAGGATGAGTGCTTTGCGGAGTTCTATTACTCTTGGTACTTCCTGCTGAGTGCCTCTATGCTGGAGTTTTTTTCTCCTTTCATCTCGGTGGCTTTCTTCAACCTCAGCATTTACCTAAGCATACGCAGGAGGAGGCTCCACAGCAGGGAGGCCCAGCTCCACCTTCAACTGAGCGAACCTGCCTCTGCGCAGGGGGAAAGTGTCCCCTTGTCCCACAACTGGGGGTTTGGGAAGAAACTGGCTGTAAGAGGTTCCATTCACTCCCAGACCTCCTCTCCCAGTCTGAACAAACTAGATCCCTCAACCAGCAGGGCTGCCCAGCCTAGCCGTCTGTCCAGGGATAAGAAAATTGCTAAGTCCCTGGCCATCATAGTGTGTGTTTTTGCCATCTGCTGGGCACCGTACACGCTACTGATGATCATCCGTGCCGCCTGCAGAGGGCGGTGCATCCAGCATCACTGGTACGAGGTCACCTTCTGGCTCCTGTGGCTCAACTCTGCTATTAACCCATTCCTGTACCCGCTTTGCCACAGTAGCTTCCGCAGGGCCTTTAGCAAGATACTTTGCCCAAGGTGGCATACTACTCCCTCGTCATCTGTCCTCCGTGCTGGCCAGTGACAAGCAGATACCCATGCATGGATGGGGATGTGCAATGTGCCAAAATTATGGATGGAAGCATTCATAATATAACCCATACTTTCCACAGTTTCAGCAGATGGAGCTAAACTTTGCTCCACAGTTTGTCATATAGACTATAATTCATTGTTTTAATTTGTTTTTAGTGTTTGAATGTATAAAGTTGGTATCATCAGATGCATATAAAGTATTTTCCTGTCTGTTGATTGTTGGGTGAGAGAAAACCTAGAAAAGAGGGAAACAGACCTGTTGATTAATACCATGCAGACAATAAAATAGCCAGATCTGCCAGCTGCGGGTTTTGTGCTGTATGTATCTGTAAAAATAAGGTCAATAAGAAATTAATTTTACTTGATTAACTGCCCCATTCTTTGGCACATTCATTATCAAATTATGTGGATTATGTGATAGATATGCTCTAGAAAATGAAACATAACAAGATTTTATATTTGTCTTAAATGTGTGTCATCCAGACTAGATAGTAAATCATCAATTATGTTGTCTTGTTGAATGTATATACATTATATTGAGGATTTATGTTGATTAAGGTAAGTGTTGCCCTTGCTGTGACATCCTTGCTTCAGCTGAAGTAAAACAGATCTTTATCACCCTCTGCTGTTAGAAAGTTTACTACTGGTGTTGCAAAAGCACAGTGACAACAACACAAAGTGCCATCAAGTGTAAATGTATGTAAAATGAATTGTTTTATCAAAGCCTGACATTTGATAGCCTTTCCTTTTGGGCCACGTTGTTATACAGATCAATAATGGATTACATTTCTCCAGAAACATTTCTCAGTAGAAAAACAACACAAAGAAATTAGTTTATAAATTGTTAATTCTTATTAAGTTATTAGTGATTAGTACTAAACTAAACCACTCCACAGCAGTACCACCACCACTGGTTTATTGAATTTAATTTTTTAGTGTGTTTTACAGAAAGTACTTGGCTTTATGTAAAAGAGAGTACCAGCCCCAGCCTGTTCAACCTGCTGCTGTCTGGCAAGAATGTACACTTTTCTACCATAAGACTTCAGAGCAACTTTTTTCTCCGGGCTGTGAGACTCTTTAATTCATCCGCAACACTCCACCATGCAAAATAGTTTTATTTCTTTGACTTGTTATTTATACATCCATCTATTGTGTATAATTTTTGTATATGATGTTGTTTTTGTGAGTAGCATAAAGGGAACTACAACTAAATCTCATTATCTTTTGTTGTAAAATGATAAATAAATCTACCTTGTACCTTCTGTTTACAGACAATGCCAAAATACCATTTTACTGTGATCAGCTGGTGTATATACTTATGTGCCACTAGATGTCACCATGAACCTTTACAGCTTCCTGTCTGTGCAGCGCTTGAGCATTTAGCTTCACTGCATCACTGAAAGAAGTCAGTCTTTGAGATTGGCTATGGTTTCCATGAACTGTTGTTCTTTATTGTTTTTGTTTGAGTCATCATTTAAATACATGCTATGTTTTTCCATCAAGACCATGACTGATTCCAATTATAATAGAACATGTAACCTAATAATTAGGTATATAAAATTGTATGGTGCTTTTGTTACATTTACTCACAGTGAGTCCTTTATTACAAGTGACATGTAATTGCAAAACCTGAACAGTTACAGCACATCCAATTCTTTATCAAATGTTTTATAGTCCTTAGGTGAGTGCTGTTATGCTATACATTCTTTAGTTACTGTGTAATAACTTCAGTATTAGAGTAGTAGCCTACATGTTCTCCTCTTAGCTTTGAAGGAAGTTGTGGTACAATAATAAAAAATTAAATAATCCAATTTTGTGTTTAATTTATGTGAATGAAATTTAGGATTAACCAAAAATAAACACATCTCTGTTACTGGCTGTTACCATTATGCAGAATATAAAATAAATAAATTAAGCTCTGATGCATTTTAAATGGAACATTGTGCACTGCAGTTGGTGTTTACCTGATGGCTAATTGGGTCAGTGCCAAGTGCTGAGTGGCTTTTGTTTGATGTACAGATGAAATGCTGAGAGTGCAATACCATTTTTGTATTGTTCCCCAGTCTAGGTATGTTTGATTTGATAGCTTAAATAAGTTATTTCCAGAAGCAGACTTATTAGACCTGTAATTACGCCATCATATTAGAAAGTGGGGTTACATTTTGCAGGTGCCTGGGTCCCACAGGGGACTTACATTGCTCAAATTGTTGCTGCTGCCCGTGTGCACATCTGGGCCCCTGGTCAGGTGCTGGGAATAAGGGCACAGCTGCAGGGAACAAGCCTCTGCTCCCCCCTCACTCCCTCTCTGCCCGTGGTGTGGTGGGGAGACAGAAGCATACTTCTGACCAGAGGGATGCAGGCACATTTCCCTTGGGATGACAGTACTGCATTTATCAGCAGAATGGCAAGCCTGGGTTTACTCCCTGTGTATCTAAATGCGTATCACTGTGAGGAGCGCTTGCACTGTGTGCAGTTATATTAGGAGGACTACTGCTATTGATTTTGTTGATAGATTGAAATGTCATGGCATGAGTGCCAAACCGATTGGCTACAGACTGAGGCTGTGTTGGGGATCATGCCAGCTAAAATGGTCTAGGAGGAGTAGCACCATGAAAAATACAGATGAGATATTTTAATAATGTGCACACGCAAATGTGTGTGTGACTTTCTAATCCTTTTCAGTGTGTATACCTGAATGTGTTTATGGGGGATTTGTATGTCTCTGACCCCAAGCAATGTATCTAAAAGCAATGACCCCAAATGGAGCGCACCTGTGCCCCTTCAGTTTATAGAGCCCCATTAGCAGAGACTCTGTCAGTGATCAGAGGGGGGAATGGGCCTATATAACTTCCCCATGAGAATCTCTGAGTAATTAAACTCTTAGAGGTTCCTCTATAGCACTTTGTTAGGATGACTTAATGCTGAAATCTCTTGTTTTCAAACTGGATCAGACCTCTCGTCTACACAAAAGGTAAATAAAAGGTGACAGATGTGGAATGAAGCCACTGTCATGTTTAGCATTATGGAAAACACAGAGGACATTGTCACATACTCCTTACAACAAGACTATGGCCAATGTGCTACACTAGTATTTTAAAGTTAAACTTGAATGTAAGAGTGAACTGGCATTAGAAGAACAAATCAGTTTGGTCTGCTGGTCAAAACTTTGACCTCTTTTGAAGTTGTAGCATCACTATGTGTACATTTTCCCTTGTGCAGGCTAACTAAATGTAAACCACAGTTAATATTTCATGAGGGACATCCTCAAAAAGAAAAACGGTCTATTTCTGCTTGATTTTTGCCTTTTCCGTTCTTCCGTTTTTCCCTCTGCTTTTTTCCTGCAGTGTACTTCCTGACTAGAGATTAAATAATTCCATTGGAATCCTCTTAGGATGGGTTCCCAGCACTTGGCAATTAAACAATTACATTTAATCAGCATGGGGCGACGCTTCAAGTCACCCTCATTTCAGACGTTGATTAAAAGCAATTCTGCAGTGGTTATTGCTGTCGACTTTCGAAACTGCGGTTCACTTAGGTTTACTGCGTCTGTGGGGTCAGGTTGGATAGCAATATGGCAGGTTCAGCGGTGGTCGAAAGCTGTATCTGTCAGTAGTGGGTAAGACAGTAATAACAGAGCTCATGGCAGACCTTATATTGTCCCTTTAGTCAGAGCTAGTTAGATTACTTTGAGACATTTTGACCCTACAGCAAAGAAGACTCAAAGAACAATAGAAGGGAGAGGGACTTTAAGTTATGCATGTGGGAGTCCACTCCTGTGTGAGTGTGTGCCCATTGTTACATTACATATGTGAATTTGACTGTATCCACACACAGCTTTTTGCATCTATGCTTATGTGTATTTGGCTTGAATGAAGTGCACCTTGACAATGTCATCATGCCATCCAATTACATCTCCCTCTGTGATGGCAAGCAAGCTGAGAGAGGGTACATGGGGAGGAAGGCTTTTGTGTGAACTTGTATTTGACATTGCACTGGAGTGTAAGAGTGCTACGTGGCATAGCGCTGGAGCGGACTTTAGTCTTTGCCGTGCAACCCAGATGAGTTTCGATAGATACCCGGCCCCCTCTTGTGAAACCCAGGTGTCCCTGTTTCATAAGGCACCCTACTGGCTCCCCAGCCCTCTTAATTGGCGATTTCCGTCAGCTGGCATCCAGGCCTTCGAGCAGCGGTCTCTGGCCTTACAGTCACTGCTGTTGAAGGAATCCAGTTCATTCCAGAACTTCAGCATTTCTAACAGATGGATACATGGGCGGGCTGAGTAAGGCATCAAGGTTTTTGCAAACCTGTAAATCATCTGTGAATTTCCTGGTATCTAGATAAGACGCATGCTTGAAGGTCGAGAAAATGCTGCTGAATGCTTTAGTCAGTGTGTTTCTTGGTTTTAATAAAGATGGGCAACTGCAGAGAATGGGCCACGAGTTTTAGTCTCAGGTGCAGAAACGCTGTAACAAGACATAGATGATTTTTATATGATGAAGTCAAATATAGATAAAAGGTTTCACCAGGACGGGAATGTAGCCCTTTTCCTGGTGCAGTAGCATAGCAGCGCGGTAACAATAGTCTCTTCTAATGACATTCCTCTAGTAACTTCTTGCCTCTGTGAATCTCAGGGGGAATGCGCTACAAAAAGTGATAATTACATGAAATACTGTATACATAGAGAATAAAGGGAGCATGTTTACATAACCATGCCCATAAATATCTGACGGAGAAGACATTGTTCTCCGACTCCTTTTAAGCTGATCTCCCAGGGATGCCATTTTAATGACATGATGGTTTAAAGAGATGCTGCTCCATCTCGTTCCATATTTAATTAACTTTTGCTTTTCTGACGCAGAGGAAAAACAGAATAAAGAACGCGTGATAGAGACAAACACACACGATAGCGAGGAGACAATAACAAATAGCTGGGAGAACAGAGAAGGAGGCAGGGGGAACATGAGCAGAGACCTTGTCATGCTTTTGTGAGCTGTTTACAATACAAGAGATGCAAAGGGAGAGGAGGGGTGTTGGAAGAGCGAGAGCTCTTAAAATTTAAAAAAAGAGAGGGATAGAATTAAGAAAAAGGAAAAGAGGAAGAGATGGGAGAGAGCAGGGGAACACTGGGAGAATGAGGCCCTTGTTCTCCCAAGGGGCTCCATTATGGAGCATTTTTTAGTTCATCACCAATAAGAGGAAAATAACAGTGAAACTGACAGTATGGGTTTAACTGATGTTCCAGATTTCCAAAAATAAATATATGTGCGAATAAACATTAATATGTACAGATACAGAGACTTCGGCTCATAATAATGTGTGGCTAAAGAGAGTGAATGCATTACATCGTGCCGACCTGTGTTGTCTTGTCTGCATATATGGTCATGCACACCCATAGCACTGAAACACTGGAACTTTTTTCAGCAGCCACAATGAACTCAAATCATTTAAACAATTAATTCATGTTCTGGGACAAGGGAGTCAGCCCAGAATCCAGTGTGCCCTCCTCTCTCTCAGGCAGTGTGTTTTCCATTTTTACTTTCAGCTGTATACGGTGTACTCTGCATTATTGATACTTTCTTTCCCTCTTCTCTCCTCTTGTTAGACTCTTCCCTTGTCCTCATATCATCACATCGGCCACACTGGCTGCAGAGCCTGGAGAGTTGCAGTAACTTTGACCCCTCCTGGTCTATATTTTATTGCTTGGTGTTTAATACATTTTTGAAAATCCCTCCCCCATCCCGTCCACAAAAAAAAGACAAAAAAGAATGTAGTGCCCTGTCTATTTCAAGTGTTTTTCTTGGTGAGGCAGAAGGAGATGACAGGAGGGGGATACTCTGCTCTCCCAGTTCAGGAGGCAGGGGGGATCATTAGAAGTGGCTACGAAGGAGGGAAGAGGGTTAAAGTATTTGTCCATATGTCTGTTAGCTCGGTGATAGACTGGTGACTTGTCCAGGGTGTACCCTGCTCCTTCCCCCAATATGTGCTGGGATAGGCTCAAGTCCCCTGTGACCCTGAACAGGAATGAAATGAAATGGATGGAGGCATGAAAGATGCATCTTCCCTACATAGAGTAAATCAACTTTAAATGAATATTTTTTTCTAAAATGCATTTATTTGTATTTTCTAGTTTTGTACTTGTGTAGTTTGAAGTGTAGGATGAGGGTAACAATCCTCTGATGGTGATATTCACAGCTCCAGGCGCCATTTTCTAATTAGTA